TTAACTTCTGTTTGTAATAAAAACAGTTTGCTTCCCACCATCTGAATATCTATCGCAGACAATTCTATAGCGGACTCAGAAATATCAAAGCGATAGTTTTTCCAAAATTATAGTCTTGACCTGCATCATATTTTCTTGTGTCTGTTCTTTTTCATGTGTTAAAACTGATAAACAAGTTTTGAATGGAAGCAAAGACCTTTGATTACCGCTAGATGGTTGATGTAGACTGAGTATTTATCTTTCTTTCTTCTTATGTTTACTAAAGGCTTCCAGTGAAGACTCTTCAGCTAGAACAAATGGCAGTAATGGGAAGGGCTGAAGAGCCATCTGTTGTTGCTAGCCGAATGCGATTGGTTTTTGGCACTCTTGAGGTTTGATTGTTTTAATTTAGACTTGAACACTATTTAAGTATATATATTCCATATATGCTTTTATATACCAGACTACATAAATAAAAATAATGAGTTCATTTATCAAACGAAGCTTTAAGTTTTTATTGTGGAATAATTCTTGTTGCAGGTTGTGAGTCCACAATGGCCAAGAGTCTAGTTCCGAACTCCAAATAGCAAGAGAAACATGTTTTCCCAGATCTTGTATCAAACATCCGGATTAATTGCAAGATGTATATTATCATAGTTTAACACAAAATCATTGTCGATTTTTTATAACTGGCAAGTGGTCTATAACATATGGTACTTTTAGAGGAACGGAGTTGGGTTCTCTATTTATTTCTTCCAACTGGCTGTTTCGATGCCACTATATCAATTTGTACAAGAATTTTTACATATACGTCCACTAGTTTCTTCTACAAAGCATCTAGGTAAGATTTTGTTGGCATGATTGCAAGATAGGACACTCTTATTTGAATTTCTAGAGGCAGGGGAAGAAATATAACAAAATCTCAGAGTGGGCGGACATTTCTCACATCTATTCGTATTGGCTCTTCAAAAAATTTCTTGGTCAGGTCGAAAGGAAGAGGTATTACATAAAGTCATATGCTATCCCTATTCTGTTGCATCAGAATAGGGCTTGCTAAAAATAATGTCAAAATTGAAATTACAGTG